TGCAGAAGGTGCACATGGCACATGTAATTATCATTCACCTTCATCCCTTAAAATAAACATATCCAACAAAAATCAAATCCATATGAATCTCATCAAACATGAGATAACTGAATGTTATGTCAGTGAAGTTTCTCATGAACTAATTATAGAGTAATACATCATATCATTGGATACCAATCAAATTTCCTCGTGGAGACATTTGTTCTGCATAATCCTACAAGTCAGAGGGCTAAAGATTTGTTAAATGTAGACTTGCTTATCGGGAGTGTTGACTTAATCTTGTTTAACAAAACAACCATAGAAGGGTCTACATTTAGAATCCTATACAAGGCTATAAAGATGACGCAGAGAAATTAACTTTTCTCCAGCACAATACTGATACAAAAAACCATAATAATACTTTGAGTATATAGTTAAAAAAAATCAGAATTATGGTGTAACTAGTGCATGACTATACTTATTGCATTGGTGTCCTGATGGTTAATATTAACATACTGAACAACGATAAAGATATATTCAATGTCCAGAGTTCATACTCTTACAAAAGAAGACCTCTGGTTAATTGTAATTAAAATTAATTAGCAGAAATATTTTTAATGAACAGTAACGAAATAGTTTTCTCAGTGAACAGTAAACAGATTTTTAATGAACAAGGAAAATGATTCTCTATGTAAACAGAAAGAAGTATATATTTTTCGGATTTAAATCAAAAGCTATAAACTTCTCAATCTTCTAGATTGTTGGGAATTTATCAAATAAATAAAGATTATAGCATGAATTTAAACCCGGAAATTAAATAAATAATACATCAAAGATAGATAATATAAATTAGAGAAACAGGCCTGACGGGAGCAGTCGTGTAAACACTGCCCTAGAAGATTGAGAACCCGCCTATCGCCCTGGCGCAGATGGTTCCCTCCCCCTAGCGGTAAAAACCCCCGGAAACGGCCGGCCTCTACACTCGGGCGAGAGTGCAGAGCTTCAGCTCAGATGAATGAAGTTGCCCATAAAAAACTAAAATGTAGATGAAAATAATATGTAGGGGAGAGAAGAAAAACAAGAGAAACTTGTTGTATATTTTTCTTCTTATCATTTTGAGCTCAACATACGGATATATATATAGGGTTGGAAAAGACGTTACAAAACCCGTAATTAATTCTGTAACGTTCGTCATAAATTTTGTAACGTTCCCCATAATTATATATCCATTACACATATTTTAATTGCATGTTTTAATTACAAATTTATTATAATTCATGAAGGCAAAATTGCCTTTTGTTAACAAAATATCTAACAGTCCCCCCCAAAAGGCAATATTGACTGAAGACTCAGAAATCAATAAATAAATCAAGAAATCATAAAACAAATATAGGTTGGGCAACCTTTCGTATCGTGAATTCGGGAGAGGTAGCTTTCGGCTTTGAACCTTTCCTTAGTGAGTTAAAATATCTAACAGACGTCTCAAGACCATCAACCAAAGAATAATCGTATGTTTAGACCATCTCCAACGCAGCGGCATTTTGAGGCGAAAAGGGAAAATGCCGCTGCGTGGGAGCTCCAATCGAGCGGCATTTGTTGCCGCATTTTGACGGGGATGAACAGCGCGACTCTATATTTGGCGTCGCACTCGCCACCTGAGGGACATAATGGACTAGGCCTTGAATTAGGCCCCTTTAATCAGGTATTGATGAAAACACACACAATACGCTTCATCTATTGAGCAAAGCGGGTTGAGCGTTAAAGGTCATGCTCACAATAAACTGACTCATGAGAGTTTCTAGGGGTTAGCCCAGCCCCCCCTAACCGCGGCCATCACGGTTCCTCTCACGTAGGTAAGTCCTCAAAGGGTACTACAGCTGTTTATTTAATACCCCCCACAATACACGCATTGGACTTATTAAGAGTAAAACTCAGCCTAGCCAGCTGTATCATAAGAGCATCGTCATCATAGAGAAGGGGTAGTAGCAAATGCTACATAATGATATATAAATATATCTAGGTCGATGCTCCACACGAGAGTCACTTGTCCAGCTTGTTTCTACCACATTGAACCGACATTGGGACTACGTCTCCAAATAAGGGTTGGGTTGCCGCTGTCAGTGACCTCATCTATGGGCTTAACCCCATCTCCCTCGATGAATCCAGAACCACACTCCTGGATAATCCCTTAGTCAAAGGGTCATCAAGATTCTTTTCACAGACTTTACAAAGTCTAGAATCATAACTTTGCCTAGCAGGCGTTGTATTTATTTATCAAGTTCTTATTTTGTAATTAGTCCATCATATTGTTTGAAATTGACATTAGGTCATGATCTATGATCATAAAAGATCATAGTCTATGTCTGAAGAGATTGACCTTAATATCTGAACATTTCAAACTAATGTGGAACTAAAAATTCTGCAGTTATGCATATGCACATACATGAATGAAATTAATAATAGATACATGCAGAGCATAATAGGATTTCGTATCTTAAAATATATTTTCGTATCTTAAAATATATTTCATACTTCATAATTCAAATGCATAAAATTTTTAAAATTCTTCTATTATAAGAGGTTACAAATTGGTTGCCTACAAAGGAGACCGTCCAAATTTAAATCGGTTGCCTACAAATGAGACCTTCCAAATTTAAATTGGTTGTCTACAAAGGAGACCTTCCAAATTTATGTTGCCATTTTCTAGTACCACCTCTTATACAAATAATAATAATAATAATATTTGTACATACGTGCTTTAAATTTTACAAGTGCATTCTTGCATAAAACCTTGTAATTAATCATGTAAAAAATGCAAGTTATCTAAAAAGATATATGAGCATTTATTGCAATATTCATCAAAATGCAATAAAAATGATGAACTTTACATTTGAATAATATAATTCACCATATAAAATAGAATTTTAAAAGATGCACCTCTTTGATTTGGTTCGCTCATATATTGATCATTTATCATTAGGCAATATATGATGCAAGAAGCGTAATTAAATAAATGCATATGAATTATTCTCATAATTCCGGTCCTCTTATTCCAAACCAAAAACTCCTAAAGTGAAAAGATTAAAGTTTTACCCGGGTAGTTAGCCAGGTAAGGATAGTAATAGAGGTTGATCAAAGATCAATTAAGTACCTCGTTCCTTGCAGAGCGCGTTACGCAACCCTTAAACCTTGCCTTAGACACCAACTAATCCAAGAAAACTTGAATCGGTTCACTCAATGAGTTTTTGTTCCTTAACAGTATATAGAAACTTTAAATTATTTCCTGCAAGCATTTAATTTGCCTAGCAAGTAACGTTCCCCATAATTATATAGCCGTTACACATATAAATAATTGCTAATTAAGACATGGTTTAATTATAAAAATTTTATTACTATTCATGAAGGCAAAATTGTCTTTTCTTAACAAAATATCTAACAGTCCCCCCCAAAAGGCAATATTGACTGAAGACTCAGAAATCAATAAATAAATCAAGAAATCATAAATCAAATATAGGTTGGGCAACCTTTCGTATCGTGAATTCGGGAGAGGTAGCTTTCGGCTTTGAACCTTTCCTTAGTGAGTTCATCGCCACCTGAGGGACATAATGGACTAGGCCTTGAATTAGGCCCCTTTAATCAGGTATTGATGAAAACACACACAATACGCTTCATCTATTGAGCAAAGCGGGTTGAGCGTTAAAGGCCATGCTCACAATAAACCGACTCATGAGAGTTTCTAGGGGTTAGCCCAGCCCCCCCTAACCGCGGCCATCACGGTTCCTCTCACGTAGGTAAGTCCTCAAAGGGTACTACAGCTGTTTATTTAATACCCCCCACAATACACGCGTTGGACTTATTAAGAGTAAAACTCAGCCTAGCCAGCTGTATCATAAGAGCATCGTCATCATAGAGAAGGGGTAGTAGCAAATGCTACATAATGATATATAAATATATCTAGGTCGATGCTCCACACGAGTGTCACTAGTCCAGCTTGTTTCTACCACATTGAACCGACATTGGGACTACGTCTCCAAATAAGGGTTGGGTTGCCGCTGTCAGTGACCTCATCTATGGGCTTAACCCCATCTCCCTCGATGAATCCAAGACCACACTCCTGGTCATGCAGTGATCAACCGCGATCGAGAAAATGCGCATCAGAATTTGGTCATAGATTACTTTGCCGATAATCCACGTTTTGGAGAAGATATGTTTCGTCGTCGATATCGGATGTCAAGAAGTTTGTTCCTTCGTATTGTTGATGCAGTGAAAGATCATGACTATTACTTCCAACAACGAAGTGATGGACTTGGTAGAATGGGATTATCACCGTTACAGAAAGTAACAGCTGTTTTTCGCATGTTGGCATACGGTCTACCAGCTGATGCTACGGACGAATACGTTAAAATAGGTGAGTCAACAGCAATTGAAAGTATGACAAAATTTTGTCGTGCTATGGTGGAAATATTCGCAGAGCGGTATCTACGAACACCTAACGCTAACGATATTGCTAGGCTACTCTATATTGGAAAAAAACGTGGTTTTCCAGGAATGTTAGGAAGTCTTGATTGTATGCATTGGAAATGGAAAAATTGTCCAACAGCATGGTCTGGGCAATACACAGGACGTAGTGGGTCACCAACTATTATCCTCGAAGCTGTGGCAGATTATGATCTTTGGATATGGCACGCATATTTTGGTATGCCAGGCACCAATAATGATATCAATGTGCTGGAGTCATCTAATCTTTTCTCTAACCTAGCTCAAGGTATTGCTCCTCCCGCTCACTATGTTATTCAAGGAAAAGAGTATAATATGGGTTATTATTTAGCTGATGGTATATATCCGAAATGGGCTACTATTGTACAAACAATCCAACAGCCACAAGGTAGGAAGAAAAAATATTTTGCCATGAAACAGGAAGCATGTAGAAAAGATGTAGAACGTGCGTTCGGAGTTCTCCAATCACGATTTGCAATCGTGGCAGGATCAGCACGTTTTTGGAAAAAACATGTATTACATGACATAATGACTGCATGCATTATTATGCACAATATGATAATCGAGGATGAACGTGATCTTTATGCACCAATTCAAGAAGTGAGGGAAGCACCAACACCAGAAGTTGATATGGTAGCAGATGAAACTACAAGATTTACTCAATTTATTGCACGTTACGGAAAAATCAAGGATAAAGATGCCCATATTGCGCTTCGTAATGCATTGATAGATCATTTATGGGAGGAATACACTATTTCAGATAGTTAAGTGCATACTAAATTTGTAATTTTTACATTGTTGTTAATGTTTAATTATTTCCTTGTATTTTATTTCCTGTTGTGTTCTTGAATGTAATATTTTGGTAATATCAATAATAAAAATATAATATTTTAGCAATCAAGTTATTTTAATTAATAAAATAATATTTTATTATTTTATTAGTTTAATTTTTAAATAATAAATCATTTTGTTTGGAAAATATGTGAAAAAATAAAATTTGATATGTGGGGTTAATTGTTGAAATAGTTAAAAATATAGGGAATAAAAAATAATCATATAAAAGTAGATAAAAAGAAAGATACTGAGAATATTCCTTTTTGGTGCAAAAAATGGTGCAATGGGTTGGAGATGAATTACTGTTAGATGTGACTTTTGCACCATTTTGGTGCAAAATTTGCACCATTTTGAGGCAAAGGGTTGGAGATGCCCTTAGGGACAGAAATATTACGCCGATCAACAGGGTGAGTAGCTTGTGGTAAATCAAAATAAGCTCTAGAAATAGTAAATTTATCATATATTCACGACCCAGCTCTGTTGAATTTGCTTAAACAAGCATCAGTCGAGCCCCATAATGTTAAGCAAATTACAAGAGTACTTTCCACATCCAAGAGTCATTGATTTTTTGCTTGCACCTCCCAGACATTAAGCCTTTTTAAGTACGCACCATGAATCCACTTGATCCATAGGCGGTGATTTAGTTCACGATGGGACTGGGACTGGGACTAGGACTTAGGCTAGGATTGGGATTAGATGAGACTAGGATTAGAAGTCCAAGTCCCATGTTTTTACAAGAAAAATTAAATCTCAATAAAAATATAACAAAAATTACATTTAGCCACTTACATATTCTTTTTCTCAAACATGTAAATTACTTCCAAGACAAAATTTCATGTCTTCGCGCTTATAGTTTTGAAAATTGTTGGGATTCTACGACATACAAAACATAGACTTTGCCTAGTTTTTTCTTTGTTTTTGTTTATGAGATAAATTAACTACACCTTTTAGAAGTAGCTAGTTTCAGACGTCTAATGCCTATTATATATATGTAACAACAAACTGAAGTTTCTGATATAACTTGGGTTTAGGATGAAAGTAAGTCTACCTATAACGACAACGATACGGAAGGGAGACAAGTTTAACTATGATGGACCCATGTACATGAATGAGAATGTCAAAGTTCATAAATATTGAACTCATGATAAATTAACTACCAGTTGGAAATAAGCATGTTAAGATCACATTGGATGACATTTCCATGCTACACATCCACATTATGATCCATGTCATCCGGTTGTATTGACATACGTGACCATTGATGGGTCTAGTTACGATAGATGTAGCGAAGACCGCTTTGATCCTATGTTGGTATGATTGATGGATGAGATTGGATAAAGATACATTTTAGTAATAACAATAAAGTTGAGCTCGTATGGTTATTTGGTGCAATGCATAACTATGAGGTTGCACATATAGCCAAAGTGGAGATTGTTGGATCCTTAATCCAACATTGGGCTAATATGTGAAATTATTATCCATTATAAACTGTTAAATAAAGATAAACTCAATTTAAAATGATCTAGATATGAGTTTTAAAATGTATCAGATAAGGATGTGAGCCTTTAATGTGTAGTTGTCGGGGTAATTTCTATTTTAATGATGGGTTAAAATAGAAAATATCAATTGGATAATTGTTTTGAGTTATCTCTATAAATAGTGGTTATGGTCCCCAGGTCACACGTTCAATTCATCCCTATCTTTTGATATCCCATCCTCAAAGAGAGAATAGAGAGAGATACAGAAACTGAAGGGAACTCTCTTGAAGAAACGTGCAGATCATGGAACGTTATACCGCACAAATCAAGAAATTAATCATGGTTTTGGATTCAGGTACGCTTCAGTGTAATTCAGTATTTCGATTCTCTTTAATTAGACATGTATATTGTATTATATGTGATAGTTTTTGTTAGACCCTAGAGGGGGATGATTAGGGTCTTATGCTAATCTAATCCGATTTTATGCTAATTAAAAATAATTAACAAGTTATCCTAGCAAGTATGAAATACAACAAGATATATGAGCTAGGATAAGCAATGTAAACAATGAGATATATCCTATATGATGAAATATATATGCAAGAATATATAAACTAATACAAGAGTAAACAAAATGAACTAGATAGTGGATGATATAAATAATGAGCTATGGACAATGGCGACAAGAAATATAAACATAAGATTAAGTGCGCCAAAGCAAACTCAAACACACGATATGATCACGGAGTTCGGACCTTCCGTCCTACGTCTTCGCTCCCCACTCCCGGGGAGAAATCCACTATCACAACCGGGTTTTCTACGCTCACCCGAATAACGTTTACACCTCACAGTGTCGGTTTTTAACGCTCACCGAACAACGTTCACTCCTCACACTCGGTTTTCTAGTTCACCGAAAACTTCACAACACACTCGGTTTTCTAGCTCACCGAAAACCTTACAATCTCACAATGTAACAATAAATGATTTGTTCTCTCATACAAGGGGATAACTCAATTAAGCATAACTCAAAGTTACAATCTCTCACAACCCTAATATACTATGTATGCAAATACAATAAGCTCAAGTGGGTGTGTTTAACAATGAGATAAAATCAATTCTAAACTCAATATAAAACTAGCTTTAATAGAAATGATAATCAACAAATAATTATAAATAAAAGCTAGAGTTGAGTTTAGAAAAACTTCTCTAGATGACAAGAGAGAGAGATGGATTGAATGCCCAAAATACAATTGATAATCTCCTCAAGCTTGTAAAACTTTCTTCATAAACCAAACCCTTAAACAAGCTTAAAACAAGCTTAAACTCTTTTTAAAACTCTTTAAAACATTCTCTTTTATTTTTAGAGCTGAAGGTAAAAGGGGGTATTTATACAAACCCCAAAGCCAAGAGAAAGCCAAGAAAAAGACCAAAAAACCACACTGCAACGGCTCTGGAAACTAGTCGTTGGGACTGATCTGACAGAGCGGCGGTCGACCGCGGCGGTCGACCGCGAGCAATCAGAAACAGGAAAAAAGCTCTGGACAACGCGACGAGTCGAGTCGACGGTCCGCGGCAGGTCACGCAGCGCGAAACTCTCTGGACTTAGCACTCGATAAGACGCCGTAGAGCCAGCAAAAATAGCTTCTGAGTTCAGACTCTTGGGGCGGTCGACGCGGCGGTCGACCGTGACGGTCAACCGCGAACTGACACTAATAGAAAAAACAGGTTTGAAACAAAATTTTTTGGACTTTTGGAAATTGTTAAAAAAACAAATGAAGTCCAAAAATTATGAACAGCTTTGGGAATGTATATAAATATGTTAAATGAACATGTTAAAAGAATTTTCCAAATTGCATTTCCCGCATTTGTGAAGAAATCATCAATTTTGTAAAGAAGTAGTCCAAAACACGAAAATGTAGAACATGTGAAATTTTGACATTTAGGCTAACCATGTACTCTTAAAACTTTGCAGCAATCTAAATATAATTAGACTTAATAAAAAGTATATGAATTGTTAAGTCCAAAAACTAAGAATACAATGTTTTTATAAAAATACAATAGAAAAACTCAAAAAACACATGGTATGTATATATACTAACTATATATATATCATAGACCAAAACTGTGTATATATATATATATAATATTATATATATATATATATATCATATATATATATACTATTAAAAAATATATATATAACTATATATATTATAACAGAAAACAATAATGTGTGTGGTATATGATATGTTGAGCTTAGAGTATCTAACAGCACTAAATATATAAATCTAAACTGAGATTACGCCAAGCTAGATCTTGATCTTCAATAAGCCGACTTGGGTACTTGCGGATGAAGCTTGAACTTGATCTTTAACTTTGAATTACGTAGGCTTCACTCCACAATTCTGCCAAACCTCATTTGATATCGTCGTTGAAGCGCAAAGTTCCAATCCATCCTCCAACTCGTTGTTTGCCTAGAATAAATACGAAAATACAAATACTAGACAAACAACATTAGTGGTAAATTGTTTGTTAAACATCATCAAAACAAGAAGGCCAACAATCTCCCCTTTTTTGATGATGATAAATAATTTACAAAAAGGATATATGCATGAAAGGAAATGAATATACAAAGTATAATATATCATGCATATAAACAAGAAGGAATATACTCACAATATTTCTCCCCCTTTGACAACATCAAAAAGGGGACAAAAGAAAGAAGAGAGCGAAAGCTCCCCCTACAAATAAACATGGGTGAGTATAACACATAGAAAGGTATAGGGATTGCTTCCCCTATCAAAATACCTCATGAATGTATGAAATGAAGATCATGGCAAACATATGTGAGCAAGCATAGATGGAAAATATGCTAAACACAACTCACATAAATAAAGACAAATGAGAACATATATAAATATATCAAAGTAAAAAATAGTGTCTCATATCAAAGAATATAAAAACCATTTGTAGAGGTAGATTTATGAAATCAAAAGAAGAGAAACATGAGAATCATGCAAAAAGTTTTCAAATGAAAACAAATCACTCAAGTGAAATCATAAATCAAATGAGATCCATAAAAACAATGTTTGATCAAAAAAAAATTTCTTTGTATAACTTGATCAAACCACTCATAGAATACATTATAAGGCACGAATAGATGATCCATAAGCACAAACATATAAATATCATCATATAAGTGAAATATAATGAATTCAAAGCAACAAATCAAAAACAAAATCTTTAACAAAAGAATTTTAAGAGAGGCAACAATATATCAAGCTCTTAAGCTTGTTCCAACCCATATAATCATTCTAGCATCCGGTAAACATAATTTGGGAATAAACACCCAATAAACCCGGAGGGTATATAACTATAAACCTCTCATTTAAAATCAAAACCAATAATCATGAAAACAAAAGATTTAATAAAGGAAAATTGTTTTCATAACAAAAA